AAGAACAGCAGTCAGCCAAACAGATAAACATCCAAGCCTTCATGAGGTCAGCATTTCAGTGGGGAGGAGTAGTCAGGACACTCAGATCTGAGTCCTATGGCACTGGAAATCTGGGGAGGTGGTATTCTGGAGTAGTAAGGAGCTGTTCATCTCGAGTCTGGTCAGCCACCATCTATGCTCTAAAGATAATGGAGAGCTGGTAGGACAGGGACAGGTAGACAGGAAGGACTCCTTCCTCCTTATAGTCCGACTCACTTCTCTTACTCATGCTGGTCTCTTCTCCAGAGAATGTTCTGCAAGTTGCAGTTTCCCTAAGAGAGAGGCAAATAAACAAGTTCTTCACAGACTGACTGGAGCCATCTGGGGAGACAGAAGTCCTCAGTTGACTCGGGGGAGCAGCCAGCTTGTCACCCCGGAGTGCCTACACATCTTGGCTTCACTGTGAGGACTCTATACAGCTGTAACCCTATGTGACATGGGTTGCTTTTGTGGCCACAGAAGACTGTGATGATTAGCACAACATGAGGTGTACTGTTGACACGCCACTACCCTAGCCTCCTCAGAGGTTGTTCTGACTTTTTCAGTATGAGGATCCAAACTAAGGAATGCTGGGATTCCACACATTTTGATTTAGGAGAAAACCTGACACTAGCATTACAGTTGTCATCCAATGGCTTCCCAGGCTTGATTTTTGGGGGATGGGGCACACTTTCTAAATTAAGACAGTGAACACATTATGGAGGAAGCGGTTATAGCAGTTTGAGATAGAGGGAAGTCGCTGCAGGAAAAAGTGCACGTTTGGTCAGTAACTTTGAGTGTTGTCTTCCAAGTAATCCCCACCCCCCTATGCTCTGAATTAATGCAACATTTACTGTCCATATGCACAGGCCCAACCCTCACTGTAGGCCTACGCCATGCCTGTTGGAAAGACACCCCGACTCCTCGCTGTATTGCTCTCACAGGAGCTAGTTATGCATGGCTCTTCCTCTGCCTTCAGAAATTCTTGCTACAATTGAAAGGCAAACAGTCTGAGGAGACCCTGACCCCAGTGAGATTTCCAAACCCTAGTGAGAATCATGGAGAAATGAAAAGGACTGGGCTGTTCTTGGGCAATGGCCTCAAGGAGGCCATTGTGGCTTCTCCTATGGACCAGGCCGAAGCAGTAGGCTGTCCATAGCACAGGTGTCTCTTGGCTCCTCCTGTCCCTCCCAAAGTGGCTGCACTTGCTACCTTTTGAATCACTTCAAAGCACTGCCTTTGTTGCAGTCTTCCACCTTAGGTCTAATAAACTACAAAAATAGCAGGACTGGGAATCCCTCCAAGGTGGCTCCTGCACCTTTCCCATTATCCCTGAAATGAGGTCCTAGGAACTGAGCCAAACTGACTGCAGCCTCTGCACTGTTGCCCAGACCACCCCTCTGCGGTATCTCAGGATGTGTCTGTACAAATGGACTTTCTATCTGGTTCATAAATCATCCCTACCATTACAGCCTTCACTTAGGTAGGGAGTTACATAAGACAGGAAAGATTTGTGGTTACAAACCTGGGCTCCTCCAATCCCAGCTTCGCCCTCTTTGAGATGTGAAAGCTGATTACTTCCGTTTTATGTCTTAGTTTCCTCTTCTGTGAAGTGATAATAGCTGAGAACCTCCCTGTTGGAGCTGTTGTGGGAACTAAGAAAGTTACTGCACTGGATGAATTTAGAATCTTGCAGGGACACTGACTCCACTGTCAGCTGTTACTGTTTTGTGGAGGGGCTAGTTGGCGCCTCACTTCCTTCTAAGCATAGAGAATTTGAGCAGCAAATCCATGCCAAGGGCCATTCCAACCCCTCTGCTGCCCACGTGCTTCCTCCTGGACTCACAATTCATTGCCCGAAGCCCCTAGATCTTGCTTCAGCCTCAGCTTTGCTGCAGCCATCCCTAAGGCTCTGTATGTAGCCCTTGGCAAGACTCCCAGGTATCTGCCTGTGCTGTGGGTTTAAGGTCCAGTGGCATAAACAAGCAAAACTTGCGCTGAGGGAAATGACCGCTGACAGTTCCCTAGGGATGAGGTCTGCGCATGCCTGTGTATTTATTCCGCTTCTCTGTTTTTTGTGGAGACATACTTTTGATTTTCTGTTGACCCTCCTGGTGGTGTAGCTAAGATATTAACCCCAGCTTGTGTTTAGTAGAAGGTGCAGTAAGGTGAGGCCCCCAGGGGAAAGGTGAAAGGTTCTTTTTGCTTTGAGTTGCAGTTTTCATTTAATGGCCTCCCAGGCCGGAGTTTCTTTGGATTAGGGCCACTCCTCATTCTTCTTAAATGAAGTAACTTAAATTTCAAATGAAAAAAAGTGTGTGTATGTGTGTCTGTGGTACTGGGGACTGAACCCAGGGACTTTCAACTGAGTTACCTCCCCAGTTCCTTTGTCATTTTTATTCTGTCTTGCTAAGTTGTTAAATTGCACTGGCTGGGCCTGAATTGTGATCTTCCTGTCTCAGTCTCTTAGAGTACTAGGATTTTAAAAAGTGTCATTTAAAGTTTGTAGGTGGGACAGTTTCTCTCTAAAAGGGCATCTAACAATCTTTGTTAGGTATTTTCCTCTCAAATACCGAATGAAGGCAGAGAAAAATCAAAACTGATAGCAGCAACAGAAACCAAGATGGCAGTAACTCAGTCATCAGAGACATTTTACCATCTCTGTAAAACGCCCACAGAACTGGGTCTGGGATTGAGCAGGCGGAGGATGTGCTACAGAATGAAAGCCCTCTTCTACTCATGCTGCCAAGGTCAGGAAGGCAGGGCAAGACCAAAGTAACATTACAGTATGAAGGAGTGTAAGGACACATGATGACAAAATACAGCCTATATTCCAGGACTGGACCCCTGCCAGCCAGCAGACATTGTAGAGATGGCTGGTGGAATTTGGAGAGGTCAGTGGACAGGAAGAAGGCAATGTCCCAACACCTGGAAATGGCAATGTCCCAACGCTGAATTCCTCCTTTGAATGGCTGTATTGTGCCTGTGTAGGAGCGGCCTTGTTTAGGAGGAAATGCCACTGGAGTATTGGGGAAAATTAAATCAGCAATTTAAATACTTTAGAAAAAGAATGGGCAAGCCGGACACTTTGTCTTTCCAGCTACCTTTGAGGTAGAGGCAGGAGCGAGATCTTGTCTTGATAAGAAAATAAAAATAGGGCTGGGGAGATAGCTCAGAAGAATAAGCACTTGCCTGGCAAGTGCAAGGGCCTGAGTTCAATCCCCAGGTCTGCCAAAATAAATAAATAAATAAAATAAAAACAAATACAAAATAAAAAGGTGCAAATTCTTCGGAAAAGAATAATGAAATAGTCATACAGAGAAAGGAATTGGAACAAATATGAAAAAGTTAAGGAAAGAAGTGAAGTAAAGGAAATACTGTAGCTTTTTGTGATTATTGCAACTTTTTCTGCAGCTTTTATTTCAAACTGAATCCTTAAAAACAATGTGTACAGCCATCATTTTTTCTGTGTAAAGGGACATACATAAACTTGTCTACATATATGCATACATGTGTCCAGAAACTCATCCCTAATTCAGACTCAACACGCGACTGAGTTAGAGTTTTAAGGAGTGTTAGCCTACTCGTGGGTTTACCTTACGTGGGTTTAAAACAAAAGCAAAAAGCTGAGTGTGGTGGCACAAGTCTGTAATTCCAGCGCTCCAGAGGCTGAGGCAGGGGGATCACTGCCAAGTTCGAGACCAGCCTGGGCTACAAAGTAAGCTCAAGGCCAGCCTGAAGTGCATAGAAGGACCCTGTCTCAAAAACAAAACACCCTAGCCCATCCCAAAACTCCCCGGTGATTGCAGAGCCCACCGAC